CAGTTCTGCAAATGTCACTTAATAAAAAAATCTCGAAATCTATAAATTATTAATGTTTCTAAAACGGGTAAAAGCAATCTAGAATTCTTAAGAATCCATCATATCAGACATACATTATGTATTCTAGTATTGTAATTTTCCAAACAGATAAGTTTTGTACAATATATCATTGATCTGCGCCAGTTTGGTTTCTTTTTCTTCATTTCAAACCAGACATGATTTCAGAGGTCGTAACAGTGGTCTTTTTGCTCCGATTCACACTTAGTCTATCACAAACCATTGATAAGGTGGACAGAGGTGTTGATTTTACACAGGTAGACTGTACGAGCACCTGCCAAAAGAACAGCAGCGTGGAGCTCTCGGTTCGCTCCCTCCTAGATTGTGCTTCATTGTGCCAGACAGACGGACAATGTGAGAACTTTTTCTACAGGCAGAAGAACCGCAGTTGCACCATACGGGAAGGAAGATGCTGCGAGGGTTGGAGGAAATATCTACTGAGAGGTACGTGAATAGGTTATTTTAAAAAAAATTCAAATAAATGAAATAATGTAATATGCTGGATCCATATGCTCCAAGTTTACCAAATGGATGGAAAACATTCAGCTTTTATTAAGAATGTTGGAAATTAAAAGATCTTTCAAAAGTCAGTTTCAAAAGAGTTATTGTTAAATGCATATTTTGTTGGTTAATTTATATTTCTATTTAAGGATTTGGTGTTGGACATAAAGAATTATATATCAAAACCCCGGAGAATCAGTATATTGAACCTTTTCTTGATGTGACTCGATACGGACTGTCGGCAAAAAGGGGGCGTGTCACATTTAAAATGAGGACGTGTGATGTTGACGAAAGTTTACCACACCTGGGATTGTCCGAATTTTCGCCCGATGTTGAAACTCCTTATTTCCAAATCATTTTCAGACCTGGAACTGTTCAACTAAGAAAAAGGAAAGGGAGTGAGTTAGCGCTGGTTACCAAGGAGAACCTGTTCAATTGTCAAGATTTTCATCCTTTCTGGTGCAAATGGAGCAATACCGCGATAGAAGTTGGCCAGGGGTACAATTTTTCGGAGGAAAGCATGTTTATGCAATGGGATAGGCAAACAAATTTTACAGTTAACTTTATTAGTGTAGCATCCTGGGGTATTAGTACCGAATTCGTTTTCTTTTATTAATGAAATGAGAGATGGAGCAAGTTTATCTACCGGTGAAAAAGATTTTTTTTTTCTCTCGGCATTAGATTTGCAAAACAGTATCTTATGAGCAAGTGACATATTCTTTCGGTTTCATTCGAATTGACACTGCTCTAAAGACTGTAAAATCTTAAGTTACAAAAACGTCATATCGCACGTCGAATGTACGACGACAAATGTTTGAAGATACCAACCAAAAGCATGATATCTAAATAAAGAAAAAGAATTCCTCTCGTGAAAAGTTCTCACAAATTCTGATGACAAAAAAAATATTCTGAAGTTATAATTCGTTATGAGGAATAAATTTTGTTATGGATTTCTGATAGAGCATTTGCATATAAGAGTTGGGGGAATAAACTTTATTATCATGAACGAAGATATATTGCATACATTGGAATGTATGTGCATTAATGGTACATTACAATTTTTTGGTAAAACTGCACTTAAACTTTATCAATCTTATCAATGCTTCAAGCAAGAATGATATTTTAAAAAGACAAATGGAAAAGTCTTGTTTTTGGTTGAATATTTCATCGCTTTAGTTAACATATATTTGTGAATATTTACATTTCCAATGTCTTTGTCCGAGATAAAATTACCAATTGTAAATGTAATTTATTTCCTCATAATGTCTTGGCGCGGTTCCAAAAACAACCACGTGCAGGGCGGGACAACACCTAGAGAGAAGCAGGCTTGGAGCCCGTGGATTGGCGGAATCAAAGCATGTAAATATAAGGAATAACTGTCAGATTTTTCGAATTCATGAAGATGATCAATGGATTGGCTTGTGTGATAATTTTATGCATAAACGCCTTCGGCGTTTATGCAAATTATCACACAAGCCAATCCATTGATCACTTCATGAATTCGAAAAATAAGACAGTTATTCCTTAACTGAGCGACTTTAAATTGTCTGTATTTTCTCAAACGCCGAGACAAACATTACATTTCGATACCGTTTATTTAAAGGAGAGTATATGCTTAGTTATCTTAAGTATTGAAGTTGTGATTAATTTCAAAAAAATCTCTATGAGACTGAGTGAAAAATTCGCAAATGGAACGTAAAACAACGTACAATCAATTCAATACAACCTATTGTTGGATCGTATCTAGAGATAATCTGACATGACTTGTGTATATACGACCAAACAATAGGATGTATTAATTTACAAGCATGATCATAAGAACGAAAGTGGAATCTTAGAAAAGTTGGCATTAAAAAGGGTTTGCTAAAATTCTTGTAACATTAATTTAATAGTCAGTAGCTTGACTCCATAAAAAAACGATCGAATTAAAAGCATCCTATTCGAGTCGAGTCCTCTACATTTTACCTAGTTAGAAATCGTCACTTCTTTTGCTTTCAGTTTCAGTGCTAGGTATCGAGGCCATCTGGTTTACTGCTTGATTTATATGGCAAGTTCAAATCAGCAGGCGATTGAACGGTTCAGTTGAGGACCCAAGCTCCATCGACTGACAAAGTTTGATGATTATAAGCCATTTAGTACCCAAACTATTAAAATAATTAAAACCATAACATTTCAAACGTAGGTCACAGTGACCTTTTCTTCAGATGATGTTCCTCGAGAAGTCAAGATGCATCACCTTCCAAGGTTTGATGATTCTTAGCCAGAGGGTACTTGAAAACATTTAAATACAACCATAACACTTCAAAAGTAGGTTACAGTGACTTACTTTTCGGTTCCAGCACCAAAGATGCATCAACTGACAAAGTTTGGCAAATCAAAGCCAATAAGTACCTGAAATATTTAAAGCCTATGATATACGAGCTCTGAATAGAGATAGTCTCAAACCGTGAAAACTGAAATGTATAGTGTATATTCTCTTAAAAATACTGATCTATATTTTCATGGGATGTCAATGCAATGTGGAAATCTCATTATGGACGTACATTCGTTGTAAAAGCCAAGTTCTTGTTTTGATTCATTGCCTTCTTCCTATAATTTGGCACAAGTCAAAGCAGCTCTTACACGTACTGTAAGTCTCTACTGTATAGGGAACAGATATATTCCAGAATCCTTTAAATGACGTAAGCTTGATGTATGGACTACTGGATCAGCCTTTTTTTCTTTTTGCACGAACCACTGCTTTATTCTCATTTTCTTCATAGGAGCACCTGTAAATTGTCATGGCATATTTGAAGAGCAATTTGAAATCTAATATGTGTATCTTTTGGTGAATTAAGGACATACCCAAGGTACCTTACCTACTGATAATTTTTCAAGATATTCTAAAAAACTTAATATAATACCATTACATGTTCTTAGGCAAAAAAATCAGCATGCATTACCAGGGGTTTTGAAAAGTTATCAAATCATGAAAATTTTTGTGTTATTCAAAGAAAAATGTACAAAAATTACAAATTCCAGAAATTTTTTCCATTAAAATTTGTTTTAGAAGAAGTGTACAAATCCATATATAGACATTAAAAGTATTGCACACAGGTTCTTCATATAGTGGAACTCTTCAATTCCCGGGAAGAGCTTAATAAAGTTCAAACTATGTTGCGTATGACCTTAATGACAAAAAAATAGATGACACTTCTTTCACTTCATATGTCAATCCCTCTTAAAGTGACCTGTTTCCCCAACTTCACCCCCCCCCCCACACACACACACCCACCGCCACACACTTTCTACATCTGCACATGCTTTTATTTTTTCCTTAAGCAGGGGACATATATTCTCTGAATTAGCTTGTTATCTTTGAACTCTTTTTTTTTAATCTTTTATAACACGGAGAACCCAGTCCCAAATATAGATCTCAAAGCTCTTTGATTTCTTGTTTTCTCTCTTTATAACCGACAGATTCATCTGTTATGATCAAAATTTAACAAATTTGCATATTTACCAACTTTACCTGTAACACATTTTATAAAACTTTAAAAAGTATGGTGTAAAAACACAATTAAAAAATGGGGATCAATTGATAATGATAATTGTCTATACTTGCTACCAAGGGTCTCTCACAAGTATGCAGTAGACATTTTCTATGGCATTAGTCCTTACATATAAGTACTGTTTATCTTGTTATTTATTTATTTTTTTTTTTGTATTTTATAAAGAACTAAAATGTAAACATGTTCAAAGTCTAAGCATATTTAAAAATGGTTTAAAAATGGATTATTTTAAATCAAAAATACAAATCTGAAGTTGCATACAGGCATATTAGTTTCATCTGTGAAGGTACCAGAACAGGTTGTTTTGCATATACAAATACAAAGATAAAACATGAAATACCATAAATAATGGATCTGCAAGGGAGATAAATGATATTGCCAATAAAGTCCGTATTTCCTTACCACTAATACAAAAATTAAAAAATACAAATGTCATAAAACATAAATAAATTAATAAAATATATATAATAAACTATTGAAAATGGGTTCTAAAATGACAATGTTAGTGCAAGTAATAAAAGTTCCTGGAATGATAAACAATATTTCACCTTCGAACAACAACCATTATCTTGATATAAAACACACCTGACCAATTTGCTACAAATACTACATTAATGTGACAACATTTCTTATTGATTACTTTTACTTTTAGATTATTTCAAGCAACCACTTCTCTACATGTTCTTGCTTTTATTCTTATCTTGTTTTATTTGTTAATATATTTTTTTTAATACTTAAAATCAAGGCCCAGGTAAGTTTCATTGCTCATTGACAAAAATATCCAACAGGTAATATAATTCTTTAATATAATGAATACAATGTGTACTTTATTTGGGTAGCCTGAGGTCCATTTTTAACTTTTGTACAGCATTCTGCAGTGTATTTATGACATATCACATAAAACAGTGAAGCAATGATGTCTTATTGGATGGATTTCTCTTAATGCCCAGCAATTTGTTTAACATGTATAACAAAAAGTACTAATGACGACAACCTTAAAATTAAGATTTAATTTAGACAACAAAGCAGAAAGATGTTTTTCTCATGTAAAATGATGATGTCCATTCATATAAATAAGATAAGAAAAATATGGGAGATTCTTTAAAATTTGGAGATTCCTCAATGAGGTGAAGAACTCCCTTCCTGTTAAATTCAGTCCTCGCTAGAGGTTGAAGAGGTCATGACCCCGTGGAGCTGGTCAATAACACTGTTAGAGAGGTCCTGGATTTTTGCCAGCTGATGAGTTATTTTGACTTGGTCTATTACAGACTCAATGCTGTGGTCAGTGAAAGCCCTCAGGAAAAATATATCTAAAATAAAAATAAAACAAAGTGAATTCTGTCTAATCGTAAATTTATTCCTTTGACCAAACAATTAATTAAATTTTCGACTACATTAATTTTTGCAGAAAAAAAAATATATCATAGAAAATATTTTCTTGTGTATTAACTTTACCTACCTTTAAGTAGCATATTTAGTGTCCACAGAGCCACATGTACAAAGCTTGGGTCTGGAGACTTTAGGAACTTATCAATGTATAGAACAATGCCTTTTCTATTAGCCTCTTTCAACTCAGCTGGTAAACCTACACGTACCGATACAACATAACTTCATTTTCAGTTCTCAATGAATCAACATCAGTGAATATGTAATCTAAAGATCTAAACAATTTATACAGAAAGTTATCTTGTCTTTTATGCCATCTATTTTTATTCATTATATACAATGACTTCCATTAAATAATTTTAACTAAATCAGCCTTCAGGGCCAATAACTCTTGCTGAATCCCAGTATTTGTATACTCACTGACTAACGCCAGTTGTCCCAGCGTGCCAGCACTGTTGTACTGTATTTCTCTGTGACTAGACAGTGAAGCCAGGGTCACCAGCTTACTGAAGGCTTTACCTCCCTGTAGATGTATCAGCTTGTATTTTACATCATCTGAAAACAATAAAAGAGGTTTTTCATCAGTGTAGACAGTAATTAAACAAATATAACTCAATTGAAACATGCAGTCTCCCAGATGATGAATTTACTTTAAATTGTTTTCTCTTGTATCTGATATAAGAATTTTTACCTTCGTCAGCCATGACGGCTAGAGCTGCTGTGACCTCTGACAGGACAGGTATCCTTGACTCCAGGTCAAGAAGGACAAAGGTCAAGGCCTCTACACAGTCATTCTCTATCAAGGTCTACAAATAAAGTATAACCATGTTCAATATTACCAATCTTCAGATTCTTTACAATTAAAGCCAACTTCAAAAAAAAAAAACTTTTGCCATTCAAAGTTACCAGTATTGTGTCTCAAAGGATCACTTCATTATAAATAGGGATCTGACCTATAGGACCGGGCTTGGTTTTTTTCTCTACAAAAAGCTTGTCGATTTCCGTTCCGATTAATGACATTAGGATAAATACATATAATAATTTGTTTTTCCTAAATTTTTATTTCAGTTAGTAGAGGTAGGAGGAACCCTTTCATTGATTTTCCTAGTTTGTTATCTCCATATGTACTAACTGATATTTGTCTTTACTTCTCTTGGTTCATAAAGGTAGTGTCTACTGTCTCTAAAATTCTGTTCTTCATGTCCATTTATCCGTGGATATGATAAAACATTCCATTAATGTGTGCAAATTATATAGGCCTAAATGAAATCCAAGGTAGTGCCATTTACTGAAATATGTAGCCAAAATCAATGTGTTTTAATTATAAGGAATATATACAATTGAAATTTATTGCAGCTAGCTCAATGCTGCCAAGAATACCTGCATTGAGTAACACAGAGTGAGTTATTCTTGTCCTCGAAGAAAGTGTGCTTATACTGAGGTTGTTTCGCCTGACTGAGAACTGTACATTGGATTGTTACGATTTGATATCTCTTTAGTGTTTCTTATATATCAAGAATGGGCATGCATAAAGGATAGATAATTGAAGGAAAAATACACAAATCTATATAAAAAATCTGAATAGTCTTTGAAAAGGCGAAATTTAAAAGTTTGAAAGTGTTGTACCAGGTGGATTCGAACCCCCGACTTTAAAAAGAAAGTATCCAAGGTGCAAAAGTCAGCGCTTATATCAACTGAGCTAGTCTACCTATAAGAATGAATGGCATAAATTTCAAGCAAGTGCTGAAAATCAGGTTTCCTTATTTTTTGTAGGTTTTTTGTGAATTTCGACCCCAGGGCAGGGGTGCCCCTAAAAAAATCTTATCTTAATTTATTCCTTACATCCTAACCTATCAAAATATCACAATTTTATTTAGGGGCAGGCCTGCCCTGAAGGACTTCGAGGCCAAAATTCATGCAAAAATCAATACTTTTATGGACAAAATGGTGTTTCGGTCAACTTTGGAGGTTTATTGTAAAGTTGTAAATAATAAATTTGAGGTATCAAATACAAATTTGAAAAATTTAGACATATATACGGTAGAAAACATCAAATAAAGATTGATTTTTAAATGTCGTTTTTTCCGGGAAATTGTTCTCTCCTATAGGTCAATTCTTTTGTTAAAGCGAATACATCCTTAGATGGACATTATTTTTTACACCTGTGGTGATATTGTTATCACATTCCTATATTTTGATTGACAGTGGATTTATGATTATGCATATATAATTATAAGAATTAACTTAGATGCTGCATTAGAAGTAATTTTTTATATCCAGGAATAATAATAAGCAATCTATAATATATACTAACATATTGACTGACAGTATTACATTTCTCATTTGTATGTTACTTCGATATTTTACTTACTCGTACGTATTCACTGACAGCTAGATTGCGTAGTGTTCCTGCAATGTGTTTTTGGGCTTCTGGATTAGAACTATCACAGACAACATGACAGAGATCTGGTACCAAGTTTTCATGAATGAAGGCTGCCTATAAAAGACATTATCAACATAAAAAAATCTTATACATTAAATTTTATGTATGAGAGCAACAAAGACATTATCAGTAAAAACAAGAGGCCCATGGGCCACATCATTCACCTGAGCACTGTGGCTGGGAAAAAGTAGAAATTGGTTTATTATTGAATAGTTTATATCCAAAGGTAGTCCCATGACCAATCATGGCTTTGCTATTCTTGTAAAGATGATTTTTAAGGAATTTTCCTATATATTTCTTTATATTTGGCCCCGCCCTACCCCAGGGGGTCATGATTTGAACAAAATTGAATCTACACTACTTGAGGATGCTTCCATATAAATATGATCAATTATGGCTTTCTTATTCTTGAGAAGAAGATTTTAGAAGAATTTTCCTATATATTTCAATGTAAAACTTTGGTCAGCCATTGTGGCCCTGCCCTACCCCCGGGGGTCATGATTTGAACCAATCTGAATCTACACTACTTGAGGATGTTGCCTCATAAGTTTCATCTTTCCTGGCACAGTGGTTCTTGAGAAGAAGATTTTTAAATGATACCACCAAATTTTCATTAATTCCCAATTATCTCCCTTTGGAAAAGGGAGTGGCCCTTCAATTGAACAAACTTGAATCCTCTTCACCCAAGGATGCTTTGTGGCAAGTTTGGTTGAAATTGGCCCAGCAGTTCTTGAGAAGAAGTCAAAAATATGAAAAGTTTACAACAATGCCGAAGACAACGACGACAGACAACGGACAAATTGTGATCAGAAAAGCTCACTTGAGCCTTTGGCTCAGGTGGGCTAAAAATACAGATTCATTGACCTGTAAAACAAGATCTTGTGGACTTTACATGTACATATCATAATAATAGTTTTATATCAATTTGACCATTTATATACTGTAGAAGCACATATTTTCGTTGGGATAAAATTTCGTTGATTTGTCATCAAAAATAGTTTCGTTGGCATTGAATTTCGTTGTTTTGAATGTAATCCTATTCAATATATAGTCACATAAAATTTCGTGTGGGATTTAATTTCGTTGATAATTGTTAACAACAAAATAAACAAAATTTAATCCCCCACGAATATTTGTGCTTTTACAGTAGTACCATATATCTAGTTTGCAAAATTTTATAAAGTTATTTCATTATTATTGCATTAAAAGCAAAGCCTGTTAAATTTCATTTTTTCCACTTCCGCCATTTTGTGGTGAATCACACACTCCCTTTTTCTTTAATACCAGGTTCATTGATATTTGCTTTCATTGATAAGGCCAAAAAAAGTTAAGTAATATTTCAAACATTTTTATAAAAATTTAATTCATAAAGTACCCATGTCAAAAAGAAATGTATTGCGTTTTTTTTTTATGAAAAGAGACATAACTCAATTTTCTTTTTTGAACTTGGAAAGTTAGTAATTTGAGTTATTTCCCTTCTCAGTAAGTCACTAAAATTGATCTTTTATGGAGTTCTCTTTTTAAAGGAGTTGTGTATCTTTGTTGAGATCTTACTTCATTGAGTTTGTGTATAGAGAGATTCCTCAGACATGCAGCAGCTGCAGCCAGAGTGTCAGATCGGCAGGAAGTCAGAATGTGATGTAATGGAGGCAGGGCACCATTCTCCACCGCCAATAACTGGTTCTCATCTGAAAAAAAAAAGACCAGCAAAAGATTACTCCTGGCTTATTCCATAATATCAATCTATTTATATAACTTCATGGTTTGTTTTGTTGGTGAATTAATTTGATAAACAGTTACACTGGTAGTAAATGACTGATTGTACAATTTAATTATGAGTGTGTAACATCAATGCCTACCATCTGATGCCAAATTCCTGAGAGCAAAACACGCCTGGCATTTTACCTGTAAACCAAATGGAATTTTGTGTGATGCATTTAAATACATGTTGTACACGTCTTGAATTTGTTCATACAAGCTATGTAAAATGAAAATCTAGCATTCTGGAGATCTTAATCTCTTAATCCATAGGTCTTTACCATTTTATTGCTGATTTGATATAACGAGGAATTCTTTTCAAATTCAAATGCAGTTTATACAAATAAAATCTAATTAAAATCAGATGTTACAATGTCGATCCACTCCTATACTCATTACACTAAAATTAGTGTACTGAGTATGCAAGTGGATTGATCTAATTTTAATTAGATTGATACAAACAGAAAGCCTACCCTGATGATTCTGTTTAAATCTGTAACACTAACCCTGTCCTTCTTTGAGGATAAAAGTCGGATGAGTTGTCTGATGACATCAAAATGTCCCACTGCGATCATCATGGCTCGGTGTTTTGGATTGACAGCGATGTTACTGAGTGCGGCTGCACTGTAGTACTGGATATCATAGTCTGACATGTGGATCAACTCCACCAGTGTGGGAATGGCACCATGATTCACCAGCTCATTCCTGTTGGACTCTGAAAAGGTTAAAAAAAAAATGAAAAGCTGCACAAGGTTAAATTTTTATACTAGTAACTTCTCTCTCTCTCTCTCTCTTTCTCTCTGGGTAATGGTTGATATATTAGAGGTAGAGTATGCTATTAAAGACTGATTTCCAATTGATCTCTAGATACACCTACGGAAAAAAATTCCTGTGACCCAGTTATATGAATTCTTTTTTGGTGGATATATAGACATGATATTCTGAATTGTGTGCAATGGCATGCACAGAAACAAGCATAATGATTAAAATTTAAAGAAGATGAGTGTTGCGCAGCAGTGATGGACAATAACTAGAAAGCATTTGTAATCAAGATGTCAGACAAACAGATGCAACAGCAGCCATATTGACAGCTAATAAATGCATTAAAGTACAACCTTAAAATAATTCATGCCTATTCTAAAAGAGAATATGAAAACGTTTTCTTTCTAGACCATACACAATACAAAAGCCTCTGTTTATACTCCTCACGTTCTGCTTTGATCAAATATTCAGTCATGCACATATTGCACCATGCAAATAAATGCATTCAAAAAAGTTCAATACAAGACGAACAGTGTTGATTCATCCTTTGTTTACTTTTACCAATGTATTTACATTTACATTCAAGTTTGTAAAAATGTTGTGTGTTGAATGTGTGTTTCTCTGATTTTTTAAAAAATTATTTGCATAAAATCAAGAAAATGTATTCTTCAATAAATGACGAGAAATCTTTCATCATGAATCACAATATTAGTAATGGAATCAGAATGTCATTAAGATATGGTAATGTTCAATTAAGTAAAGTTACAACACAAAAGCTTTCTCTTTAAAAAAAATCTTGATCTCGATTCATATCAAGTTTATAGTCATACTTTAAAATTATGGTCAGTTTCAATATCTTATCCAAAGAAGGCAAATATTCAACAGTTAAAAATTACATGTAACAATCAAAACTTGATCCTGATCTTTTATCATATTGCAGGGTTGGTTCTGATCACAGGCCTTAAATAGCTTACAAAAAAATTGAGGTGTTAAAACATTTTTTACACATAATTTTTTAAGCGATCCAAAAGCCTGTGGTTCTGATGTTAGAATGATTTCATAACATTTTTGCCTTACTTTTTGTAAAAAGCGTACATTCTATCTACATTCTATCTAGATGCGGAGAATACAAAGTAATCCATCTCAATGTATCTTAGCCATGACCTTGACACATTGTATGTGAGATATATGTCCTGACATTTTCTATTAATTCAGAAGATTATTGATTTCTAGAGAAGTATTACACAACTGACCTTGAAAGACTTCTATAATAGTAAATATATAATCATTTTATTCTAGAAAAGACAACAAAAATAGAAACTCAAAACAATATTTTTTTCTAATAATCTGAACTTTTTCAGAGATAAGATGACTAACTGCTAAATAAAGTTTCACAGCTGTGACACAAAATTCCAAGGCACATGTCATACAGTTTTATAAGCAACAGTACAATTGAAGAAGTAAGGCGATAGACTAATGTATTCACTTATTTTTTTAAAAAGAACTTTTTTAAATTTGGAAAATGCATGAACAAATCTAATAAATATGAATACGATATACTAGTATCTACTTTTTTTTAGACATGCCACCTTAATTTGCTAGCCAATGGTTTCTGAAAGCCACTCTCCTCATAAACCCTCGGCCTATGGTGCTTTCAAATGATGGGAGTGTTTCTGTCATGTAACTTGAATCTTACCAAGTCATAGCTCCACTAAATCAAAAGTTATGAGCTAGGTTAAAGTTTTTGCAGACAAACTGACAGACAGATAGACAGATGGACGGACATGACAAAAACTATATATCCCTGAAATTTCCAGGGCCTAAAAACTCCCAACTACTTTCGACACCATAGGCCAAGGGTTTATGAGGAGAATAGTGTCTCAGATATCCTTGGCTAGCAAGGATGTGACATTTCTGTATTTCCCTATAGGTGAGAGCTAGAAAAATAATAAAAGGTAAATGGCCTTATGTAGGGTATGTGGTACACTTACGTATATGTGTTAAATTCAGTATGGCCCCCGCAGCATTTCTCTTTACACGGAGATCTGCCGATCGCATTAGATGCAGGAGGGGCTTGACAGCATTACAAGACACAATGGAATGCTTATTTGCATCTGGAAAAAAGAGTATAATAACAATAAAAAACATTATGAGGGTATTGACCTATATTTTATACTCGTGTCACATATTTGTTTTAATTAAATTCCGGGTCCTCAAGACCATTAACTGAGAACAATCTTAAACATCTCAAATACCAGTACTAGTGTAGTCATAAAATCATTTTTCATCATGTGTTTTTATTTGATTACACCCAAATTAAAAAACTATTAAAAGAAAAATTAAAATCTGCATTTTGACTTTAGGCTGCATGGACTATCCTCATATTGTGGTCTAAGGGTCAGTTATATAAATATTTAATATCTAATTACCAGTAGTACACAAAGACAATTAATTAATATACAATTTTGAACTATGCATGCAACTAAAATCAACTTCGAAGTTATGCTGGTTTTAGCCAGCAAAGGAAACATGTCCTTTTTGAATTTCTATTTTCATTAGCTTTAGCATTTGCTTTTAAAAGTAACCCAAAGAAAACAGGATGTTTTTATTTTTCTTCCTTTTAAACAGTTTATTAATTCAAGATCATTCAACAACAAAGAAATCAGATCTTCTATCCAGTCTATCACATATCTCTTAAAACTATATTTCCTGTGTCAATTTAACACAAAAGGAAAAAGTAATTTTAAAAAACACACTCCTTTCCTGGTTTAACCTTTCAAGTCTGAACAATATTTTTTGCAGCAAAAGTAACATTAAATACGGAGAAATATGATATCTCTAGGTTCATCTTCAATATACTGATATCATCTAAAGGTATGTCTCAGATGGGATTCACTGGTGCAATTTGTTTACAACCAACAGAAATATAAATAACATACAGAGAACAAAAGGAATCTTAAATTAATATGAACTTTAAGGTTATTTTGTATCATTTATTGTGACAGAAGGGTCAATATTGTGTTTGGAATCATTAAGATTCTTACCTGTGGTAGCCAGGGCAGTAATACAGCCACATGTATTACACTGGACCTCCACATTCCTGGTATGAAGCAGTTCTACCAAAGGGTCCACTATACCAAGTCTCATCAGAATCTCTTTATTGGTTTCTGCAAATACAACCCTGATAATGTCACTCTATTCTGTATCAAAAATTAATACATATATATTGAAAAGGTCAGCTCTTTGCTGGTGTTTCATGTATAGTTTTCATTTAATGTTTCATTTCAATCTGCATCCCCCTTTTCAACTATCAAATGGTAGATGAACAGTCAATTAGAAAAGTTCTTTTTTAAAATTCAATCAAGTAGGGAATTCATTTTATTTTTTTTTTCATTTTTACATGTAAGTAAGAGTTAATTAGGATCCCTACAGGAACTTTTTTTTTTCATTTTTACACATAAGTAAGAGCTTAATTAGGATCCCTACAGGAATAAAGGAAAGATAGCAAAATTGAATGAAAATTTACTGCAACACCACTCCAATCATAATCTGATCCCCCTTGCCAGCTGGCTATGATAAGGTCTCCAATGTGCTACTGTGTGCATGTTAACCTCCCTGTAACTGTGAATAATCGTAATAAAATCTTAATACAATCTTAATACATATCCCACTTTCTCTATCAGCTTATCTTTCCCTACGGGCAAATCTTAGTAAAACTTTTTGTAGATATAAGAAATAAACCACATATAAAACGAGCAGGTTTATAAAGATAAAAAAAAATAAAATAAAAAAATCAGCAGAAGATGTTTATATTTTTGTTTATGTATACTGGTACTGTCCAAGTGCAGGTGTAAAGACGAATAATGACCCCCATCAAATAATGACATTATAATCATATGGGGGGTGGGTATCATCTAGTAAGCTCATGGCTCACAGTACCTCTAGTTTTGACTGTCTATGGGTTGTTTGGATACTTTACGAGTACATGTGGGAAGTATATACATATATCATAAAAGGAATGGTCTTCAATTAATTTTTCATATTTTGCTTTGACATAGTATGAAGAAAACATTACAAAAATGAAATTAAATGTTCCGATTTTCATATTAAAAATGCTCTAAAAATATACACAGAACGGAGTGAAAGTGTGGAATAAAATAAGATCAAAACTAGAGGTACTGTGAGCACTGAGTTCAGTAAGTGATACCCCCTGCATCCCATATGATTATATAAGCAATAATTGTATAATTTAATGAGATCAACAGATCATCAAATCATTCCCAATTTAGCTCAGGTGAGCATTTTGGCCAATAGGTCTCTTTTTTTGCCACCTTAAAATTTTAACTTTCATCAGCAAGGGGATCATTATTCTATGGGGGTCATTTTTCTTCACATGGGGTATCCAAATTTTTAGGGTGATGACACTTTTTCTACAGGCAAGAGGGTCATTATTTGCCATAGAATAATGACGCCATCGAAAAATGAGCCTCGGTCATTATTCTATGGGAGTCATTATTCGTCTTTACACAGGCACTGTACATTGATCACTTTGCTATTAACAAGCATCATCAGCCCACAACTAATTCTTACACAACTGCTCAATGACAATGTCATAATGGACACTTACAAAAAAATTAAAACCTTCAATGTACTAATAAAGCTTATGATATGCTGCTAAATATTCCAGAAAAAAAAGCAAGAAAAAAAATCTGAGAGCTTCATCTCTCAAACTTTATAAAAGTACACATAATTATAAGCTTTTATTATGAAACCCTTGTTTTCTTGGTCATAGAGTCCAACAATATGATGGTCACATGCAACAGATGTGTCAAGGCCTATGTGAACCTTTTTACACACGGTGTGGTGCCTGGTTGCTCATTGACAATGATACCCAGGTGTCGCCAAACAAAGATTTACCTAGCCGGCTGTATGGCTTTCCTTTGTTTCATTTAATTGTTTAATCTTGGGAACCATTAAATTGATCATATTTTTACTTCCCTGCTGCAGATGATGCAGTAGGCTTGTATTAATATAGAAACCAATTATGATCTTAGAGCATTGAATGGATACATCTGTGAAAATTGTCAGTGATGTACTAACAACACAGCCTGCTATAAGTATTAACTCAGTTCACAAAAAATATAAACACAGATCCAGGCTAAATGGAACAATGAAATAATTCAAATGATTTAAAAACATTGGAAACAAACCATATTGATCATTTCAACTTTCTCTTTAAATTCATCAAAATTATAAAAACCCACAAATGTTCAATTGTTGGTTCTCTGGTGCTTTAAAATAAAGTTCACAAAAAGTAGGTCTTTCTTATATGCAAGATGGGATTTAACTTGAAATTGTGACAGTAAAAACCTCAATAAAATTTGATATTTTAAACACAAATTTCACCTCCTTTGAAGTATTAGTGAAATCATCACATCCTAGTAAATTTTAATTTACATAAATAACAAGTTCTTTCTTAACACATGTATATGCCCAAGTGATCTATTGTTTTGGAAATAGCCTTCATCATATTTCCACACTGTTGTTGAAACTTAATATATACAAGTTAGTCTACTGAATGTTGATGAAATTGCAATTGATTTCAATTGTGATGATTGGTAAAATAAGTGACACTCAACTTCCCCAAACAAACATAAGTGACTGAGATTGAGTTTCAAGTGAGTTGATTGGTCAAACAAAAAGGCCTAATCTGCCATCCCTTTTCACGAGAGACAAACAGTTACTGAGATTGAGTTTTGAGTGATAAGACAGACAAAGAACTCATCAAATGATACTCCCCTCCCCCTCCCCTTAATAGATAGAAAATACTTATGAAACTGACTTAAAGTCTCACTGATTTGATTGGTCAAAACTCATCTGACAGACAGAAAATACTGAGATTAGGTTTCAATTGAGTTGATTGGTAAAACAAATGCCCCCCCCCCCCTCCAATTCATCAAACAAATTTACTGACGAAATAGACATTCAAGTCTCACAGAGTTGATTGGACAAACAAAATAGACTCACCCACCCCTGACAAACAAAAGTTACTGACTGAGACTGAGTTATTAGTGAGTTGAGTGGACAAACAAACCAGACTCACCCGCCCCAGACAGACAGAAGTTAATGATTGAGACTGAGTTTTGAGTGAGTTGAGTGGACAAACAAACCAGACTCACCCGCCCAAAACAGACAGAAGTTAATGATTGAGACTGAGTTTTGAATGAGTTGAGTGGACAAACAAACCAGACTCACCCGCCCCAGACAGACAGAAGTTAATGATTGAGACTGAGTTTTGAGTGAGTTGAGTGGATAAACAAACTAGACTCACCTGCCCCAAACAGACAGAAGTTAATGATTGAGACTGAGTTTTGAGTGAGTTGAGTGGACAAACAAACTAGACTCACTCGCCCCAGACAGACAGAAGTTAATGATTGAGACTGAGTTTTGAGTGAGTTGAGTGGACAAACAAACTAGACTCACCTGCCCGAAACAGACAGAAGTTAATGATTGAGACTGAGTTTTGAGTGAGTTGAGTGGACAAACAAAGTAGACTCACTCGTCCCAGACAGACAGAAGTTAATGATTCTGACTGAGTTTTGAGTGAGTTGAGTGGACAAACAAACTAGACTCACCTTCCCCAGACAGACAGATGTTAAAGACTGAGACTGAGTTTTGAGTGAGTTGAGTGGACAAACAAACTAGACACACCTGCCCCAGACAGACAGAAGTTAATGATTGAGACTGACTTTTGAGTGAGTTGAGTGGACAAACAAACTAGACTCACCTTCCCCAGACAGACAGATGTTAAAGACTGAGACTGAGTTTTGAGTGAGTTGAGTGGACAAACAAACTAGACACACCCACCCCAGACAGACAGAAGTTAATGACTGAGATTGAGTTTTGAGTGAGTTGAGTAGACAAACAAACTAGACTCACCTGCCCCAGACAGACAGAGGTTACTGACGGCGAGGGTAGAAGCCTTCTGGACTTGAGTGTCAGATGAACGGAGGAGTTCTACCAGAGGTCGTCCCAAGGCAACAGTCAGCTCCGTCTTCACTAAAACAGAAGTCTTCTTCATTATTACAGGTACAAACCTTTACTGTAGGTCTTCATTAAATGAAGAAAATGTTTCAAAACCAAGAGGCAATTTGTTTTGAATTTTCTATCCATGCACATACCAAACTGACAAAAGTGACACTTTTTAAATTACTTTCCATTTAAGAAAAGATGAAAAAAAAATTGGTTGCACATTTAATCATATTGATTTTAAGAACACATTATTTCTCAGTTTATCAATCCATAATTTTCTTTAAATATTACAGAGTTCTAGGTTAAGCTCTAGGATACTTACACTTCTCGCTGATTTCTAGCATACACAATGCTGCTGACCTCTGAAGCTCAGCATTGTCCGAGTAAGTCAGAATGCTCAGAGCTCGAATGTGTTCGCTTGATAAAACAGGTTCTGCCTTCTCATCTGAAAATACACCCAACAGTATAACTTTGACATGTGTTTGAGGGCAAATACGATTAAAGGAGGGGTATAGTGGTTTGGGTTCTATATAAACATCAGCCAGGGTAGCTCAGTAAACAGAGCACTGAATGATACGGGGATCTTATGTTCAATCCCCGGTTCAGCCATACATTTTCTCCATTCCCGTTACAACTTTATACCTACTTGTTTAACATATTTGCAGACCTGTTTACCCATATCCCTGTTTCTCAGTATTTTTGATTAGATTTGTGTGTGTGAGATTTGGCATTTGCCAGTAAGATTTCACTTCCATCAATTTTACATACTATATAAATGGAGAACAACTGCTTTTCTGATTACTTAACACGGTTAAATAACATGATCTTGATCATTTTATACCACGGCGTTTTGGCAAACCGACATAACTTAATTTGAAATTTTTTTTTAAGAATTCAAAAAGCATGAAATTGAGACAGACCATAACGAAAACTAACTTCTTAATACTAAACAAGTGTATCTCTTATTTCCGTATTTTCATATTAGCAAAACGTGAGACGTATTTTGGACTAAAAATCCGTACAAAATACGGCGAAATCGTAAGAGTAAACAGGTCTGTATTTGTGATGAAAAATCAATATAATTTAATTCTCAGTGACATCATAAATGGTTCTCTTTCAAATGATAAAAATGTTCAAAAGAATTCAAACTGTTAAGTTTTCAAAATTAAAACATTTCTAGGGTTTAAAGTTGTTAAATTATTTCCTATAAATCAATAATGAAAGGCTTTATATAAGATTTTATTATGCATCAAGCTGTTTCAATTCTCCAACACATGCTTATTATCAAACCCATAACTTATTTCCTGAATTACTCTCTCAAACCTCAAAATAACCACGTACACTCATTATTTTTTCTTTTTCATTAATAATACCCATAATCCTCCTTACCTCTCTCCAAATAGATGTATAGAAGTAGATTCTGCACAGCCTGTTTCTCATTGTCCAATAGAATCATAATTTTTTTTAAATTTAAAATAATACCCATAATCCCCCCATACCTCTCTCCAGATAAAGAAGTAGATTTTGTACGGCCTGCTTCTCGTTGTCCAGTAGAATCATTCCATACTCGTCGGTCAGTACCCCATTCTTCTCCCTCTTGTAGCACCCGCAGGTTATACAGCACACACAGAAGTCTAGGATCTTCTGGAGGAGGGACAGCAGCTCCTCCCAGACATCGGGCTTAGTGGGGGGACGCTCTATCTTGATGTCAAACTTGTGTTCAGTCCCCGTATGCTAGGAAAAAAACAAATGAGGGTGTTAAATGAAAGCCTTATGGGTTAAGACACTTACATGATTTGCAAGCAGAACTGAGAGCCCTGAGCACCCAGTAAGAAGAGGGTACAGTTTGAGCTTTATTGTGCCCTAAAAATTTAATGTTCTTAAAAAGTTATGAAATTAGCTTTAACAATAGTTGAGAAGATGAATATGATAAATCATAAAAGAATATGGCATAAAGGAGGGCCTTTCTGGAAATATGACGTCATTAATTTGGTACATTTCTATGTTAAATGCAGAAAAGCCCCAAAATGACTCATTTCTGTGCTAATTTTCCTTTAGAAAACAGTGTCTGCCACTGTCGCCCGCTTTAATTTTTTCATATATTATGTAAAATGCTATGAAAAATCACATATCTCAAAATCTTTCTGGGCGACGGTGGCAGAGTATGTTTGCTGAAAGAAAATTCCACCGAAAATTAAATGTCTTCTGCAACTTTCAAAGAAAATACGGGAAAATGCACAAGTTAATGACGTCACAATTAGCATTTGGGAGGTCATGTGAGAAAAACGGTTTGTGTCTCCTTACTGCAGGGAATTTCTATGATTCAGAAAGAATGAATTTTTATTTTTTATATCACTTTCATATTTTAGAAAAATATAGGGCTTAAATTGTATTGAAACTGTACCTTCTTTCTTTGTCATAATCATGTAGATATCGACAATATTTGTAAGGCGTACTATAAGTTCTCTGAATACTGAATGTATAAGAATGTAAGAATATAACCTTAGAGAAAATTTAAAGATTATAGATCAAATACACATTAGTTGACCTTTTTGGGGAGTACAATTGTAGCTTCCTAATTTTAATATCTCAGTCAATGTTTATAACTGCATGAACAAACAACACTTTGAGAAAGTGAGTCTCCATTAAATTTACGAAATTATAATTAATTATTGAAATTCAAATTTAAAGAATGACCATGGAACTACACAAACTCAACACTACAGGACAAAGCAACTCTGATTATAATACCAGTATTTACCATTATGTTTTCTGTGAATAATTCCCTTTGTTTGATCAGTTATACGTGTCACAAACTTCGATTGACTCCCTTCATCACTGGTTTCTTGTAGCTAACACATTTGGAATTTCTTATAACTAGAAGTGCAACAAACCCAACTAAATTAAACTGTCTGACATAACTCCGGCTTTAAATACCCTTAACCCAAACAAATGAGATCAAAGCCTAGATTATATCAAGCTTTCTGACAATAAAAACATTGGAATCTAATCTGACCGAGTCCATTAAAGGTACACTCAGTTATTACTGATTCATGAAGACATTTTAAGCAACAAAATGCAGTGTCATTAACCTTTCTATAGCAACATCCTTGATTTTTACAGGAGATAAGGCCATTTAGGGACTAATTTCATATTTAGGGCATTATTATTTGTATACATTAGTGACCTACAACTTTTAATGATAAATGGGTGAAATCATTTGGGTCAAAGCGCCGTCATCTCTAGTCAATGAACAAAATACAAAAAAAAAGAGAAGATCTAAATGTTTTAAAATAATTAAATTGCCAATTTATGTTTTTAAAATTTAAATGGACCAATTCTAGCTAGAGGGAAATGAACTACAATTTCTACATCAAATAAGTAAAATCACAGTTTTTCTTATCAGACAATTACTTCTAAATCAGCACAGTAATGACTTTTAAATAAACAGTTATTACCTGGGGTATAATGTACACAATACACAAAAATTCTTACTTATCTATTTAAAATAGGTCATATCACTTTAGCTGACTTTTAACTTTATGAAATCTGGTCAAATCACAGAATATATGACTTACAAAGTGTCCCAAATATTTAACCTGGTTATTGATTAAGAAAAACTAATCTTGTGATCAATGTTTTCGTCAAGTAACAAGGTCTGACTACAAGGTGATCTACATATAGGCCCGCTACCATCCATGCAAGCTGGACCAGATATGTACTTACTTCAAAATGTCCTACACTAAAATGTTTAACCTACAGCTGAGATGTGAGTATGTACAATATTCTCAAACAGTCCCAATTATTAAGGGAGGGACAATTTGATTGCATGCATGTGACATTTTTAATATATGAAGCTGAAACATGCCTGCACCCACATCAAGTATATATTTACAAAACAGACATTGAAATGAATGGTTTTTAATGTTACAACCTTTACATTTCAATTATATCCTCTTTTTTTCTAAAAGGGTGTTCCAAATTTATAACTTGCAATTGACAAACAAAAAATAAAATGTTTTTTTTTAATTCATAAGTTGTTACTGTAAATCACTATTTATTTGCAAGAAATTTATTTTCATGTATTTACCCAAGACCTTTTCCAGATGAAAACTTCATGCTTGCAGAAAGACAGAAAAGTAAAAGGTTACATAAATAAGAATAGAATACCTGATACCTAAAATAAATGCTGACACAGCTGTACATATACAGAACTAGTCTGGGATAAAGGGACGATTAAGGGTTGTATTAAAGAAACAGAACAATGCTCTTTTCTTTTTACAGGATCATCCTTTGATTGTTGAAGCATTAATTTCATTATTTGGTAATTGACAATACACAAAGATGATCATATTGTCCGGCTGGTGAGACTGCATGTATTTAAACAAAGAGAAACTGCATGTGCATGCTGAGGTTCTTCTTGTTCATTGTAATGCACTGTAAATTTTCTGGGTTTTTTTGTTTTGTTTTTTTTTTTGTATAAAAGGCGATAATAAACATTTTTATTTGCAATAAATTCATGTAAATAAAATAAATTAAAAACTACAAAAATATCACTATGCTTTGTCTTACCTCTGGGCTTTTCCGCTGAGGATCCATGACAATAGCAGAATATTCAGTTTACAGGTACATGACCAAGGCCAGCTGTTGGTCAGACGTAATCAAATGTCATCAGTTGGTTCCTTCTCTACGTGCAAAGTTTAGAGTTTCTGACAAAATGTAGTCTCTTTTTCTAGGATTACTACGACTTTAACACTTTAATCTCCGTAATGAGCATTGTCGTGACAGTCGAGAGCGTCTGCAATTTTGATTGTGAAACGCTTTGTGTGAAACAAAAAATCAATACAAAACAAAGCCATCGAAGCATGATTGGAATGTCGAACCCGATCCAATTTTATTCTGTTTAATTTAGGCATATTCATCAATATCGAATATTGAAGTCATTTAATGAAAAATATTCATTTTTTAGGCATAATTTTTAACGTTATTTAAAGCTTTCTCTCTGATAAATTAAAATTAAAATTCCGGAAATCTGTCTTTTGTACGTAGAGAGTTTAACTATTAGATACCTTGCAGAATTTCCTTTGTTTTGTTTGATCTTGCAATTTAAAGAATTTTTTAAAATAATGTGACTCATGTAAGTATTTTTTAAGCTCTTGTTATCTTAATCTGACATAAAAAGAAGTGAACAATTATTTAATACACAAGTAATGATGTTTTAAGGTAAGTACGATGGCTTAGCCGACAGAGGAATGAATATTGACCAGAGACTGAACCCCAGAGGGAAAGTAATACTTCAGAGCTGACTATAAATGATTGTATTGGGAGAAAAATAACAATATTGTTTTAAATTTGTTGACCGTTGGAGGAACCCTGATAGAGTATGTGCAGTTGTGCATTAGAAGTTAGAATGATTTAACTCTGTCTCGGGACAGGCCCTCAATTAACACAGAATACCTTCAATATACTTGCAAGGAAGCAAAAAAATTGCAGAAACGCCCAGAAACGATTTTGAAGAACACAAAAGGATTTGCACAATGAAGCAAAAAAATCGCCTAGAGCTCAACGACCCAGAAACGATTTCATTGTTCCAAGAATGAAAAAACAAAAGGATTTAGCAACATGGTGGCTAAAACAAAAAACTTACTTGTTAACCAAATTAATAATAACAAACCTTTTTTGAAGTTGTTTAAACTTAAAATATAATCAAAATAAGACGAAAATTCAACTAATTTTCTCAATTTATTTTCTCAAATCAAATTTACACACTTTGAAATCTTTGGAATGTTTGTAAAACATATTGTAACAATCAAAATAAGACGAAAATTCAACTAATTTTCTCAACTTATTTTCTCAAATCAAATTTACACACTTTGAACTCTTTGGAATGTTTGTAGTAAATGCATCATATGGAGATAACGAACAGTATTTCAGATCAAAAGTCAATAAAACAATACAAAATAGGAGCAGAGTAAACACGGACCTCCAAAAATACAGAGGTGGGATCTGAGTTCCACATATTACCTGTGATTAGTTTGCTACATTGTCAATACATGGAACAAATTCTTGCGTTTAAATGGGTCGTAAGACAATATAGTTTTAATGACAGAACGTTCTGTCTAGTGTGTTAGCACTAGCACATAAACCGTGGTATTGTTTTGCAGGGCAAATCCCAGATTATTAACATAAAAAAATCAGTTTAAGGTCATATTTCATAAAATTTTAACATGTTAAGACCATTAGGGCAAGCCTATATAGGCAATTTTTATTCAATTTTAATTAATTTAGAATTATCTCTTCAAACTGCACATGGTCGATAGAGTGCTCCTATTATTGGTCCACCGGAAATTTGATCAATGGTGTTACATATTTTCTATACCTGATTTCTTGACTGCACCAGGTACCCCTAACATTGACACATTTATACACCACTGAAAAGAATCAATATAATATTTATAAAATATTTCTTACTTTTATTAATTCTTAGTGTTTGTCAAACATATATGCAATTTTTCACTGAAAGAAAAATATACACAATGTCTCAATAATTTCCTAACAAGCCTCATACATTAATAAAAATAGTTTCTTTTTTCTTTTTATCTTTTGTAGTTACCGCAAGAACATAATTTGTAACAAGTTGCATTTTGCTAAGAATTGTTGGTCCTTATGTAACTGCCAAAAAATTTATTCAGAATTATTTTCTCTTCACCCAGGCATTGATTAAAGTGCTTGAAAAGAATCAATTTAATATTTATAAAATATTTCTTGCAAAAGTTCAGTAAAATTATTATAAAAAATACCGGTAGTGAAACAGTCTGTTATGTAATGTATTTCTATTTACCTGTTCACAGTGAATTTTTTATTAAATTATTTCCAAGTGTTATTAGTCGGTTGTATTTTTTACGTTATTTTGGTGGGATTTGCAATACACCCTTATAAGAAAATTAATCTGGTGACAATTGCAAATGTAGAGTGAAATTGATTATATTAGGAGTTATCTTTCAAGTTATTTTTTAAAAAAGGCCAGGTGCCTTAAAATACAAATAAAATTTTAAAATATTTAAATACATTTTTTTATGAATATAATCTAAGTCTACATAAATTATGCTTATATATCCAGACATTTTCTTTGATAACCATTTAATATGAATACAGAATAAGCTTGTGCTCCAATTTTTTAACCACCTTTACCATCTACATAAATATTTTAGACCAATATTTAACTCCCAAAATACCCTTAACATCTTATATATATATACGGTATTTCCAAGTGTTAACTTATACACTGAAAAATCAATACACCCAAGAAAATTAATCTATGCAAATGGAGAGAGAAATTGATTATATTTATAGGAGTTATCTTTCATAGGCGCGGCCTGCCAAACTGAAAAGTTTTACCAAATTTAGAGTTAAATCACAGTTTCATACACCATTTAATATGTATACAGAATAAGCTTGTGTTCCAATTTTTTAACCAGTCCTTTACCATCTATAATGTACATAAATAAATCTTGAATCCATTCCCCACATTGTCAGGTTGTGACTTAACAAAGACAGGCAGCAGATCAAGGATCTTAACCCCCAGACCCCTTGCCTAATTTGGTTGCGCCCTTTCTAAACTCTTTAAACTAAAATGGGAAATCAAAATTAAATTCAAGATAGATACGTGTATCTCAATATTGAGCAGTTAAAAATTGAGCTGTTTAGAATGAATAATGCATATTGAATAGCATACTGATACCAGGGTATATTGTCACTGTGTTAGGTACAGTACACACACATGTACCGGTACATGTACAAATATATATCCATTACCAATCATTTTAAGAAATCTTTATCATGCTTTTTTATAACTGTTATATAAAATAAATGCTCTATAATTCACTTCAGTTTTAAATTGCTAGCATTAAAATTTCCATTATACTGTTTGACTGCAACTTTTTTCCCTTAATACATGTATATATACATTTTGACTTAACCATAAGAATCTTGTTTCATGATGTAGGAGCATGGCATATAAGTACTAGCTTGCATCCTGAAATAAAAATTTCCTGGCTCTTTAATTATCTCCTACAATGTCTAGAAGTTAAGCCACTTTGTTGGAATCAAATGAGTTTTTGATCAATACTTGATGCCACTTTTATGATCCTGCATTCCCAGTGTAAGGAGCATTGTTCAGGGTTTCTATTTATAATGAGGTTGCTATATAGATGACCAACATAGTCTGCCCTAATTCATAACTGACTCAAGTATTACTCTGTTGAAACAAATGATAATAATAGGCAATATTATAAGAAGTAGATTTACAATCCAGCTATTTAGCCTTGTTGATCTGGCCTACATGATCTTTAATCCCTAGGATTATACGTGGACACTGTGTCACACAGCTTACACTAGTGGTGTATTAGAGACTGCATGGTTTTTTTTCTTCAATGTTTTGTAATCTTTTGAAGAACATTGATTTTGGCCTAACTCCTTGTTCTCCTTTGTGTTACCTGTCTGTGGTTTTTGTGTTGTAGAGGAAGTAAAGAGAGGGAGCTGATTATCACAGGATTGTGCCCAGGCAGGAATATGTAAGTTTTCATGTTAAACATAATCATTGTACTTATCGTACTTAATCTGATCAGATAGATTGTGTAGATATATGCATAAACATGTTGATTGCGAATTATGTACTTTTTCTTTCTTGTACTTTGTCACGTGTAAAACACATAAGGAAAGGGGTAAATATCTTGTCTTATTTGTGCTGTTTTTGAGATTACGTGACTTAAGTAATTGTGGTAGAGTAGGAACCAGTTTATTAATGTGTCTTAATTAAAGGGATGGACATGTAAAGTATGATTTATTGTCCATACTCAAATTTAGAGAATAATTGGGCTGACAATGTTTCCTCGTAAATTTCTTACAAGAAATAAACAACATTCATTGTCAAATCACAAGAATATGATTTTTGTCAAAAGTATGATTTTTGTTATGCCTTTATGATACTAGAAGGATTTTCAAAATGTTTTATTATTAAATTGGGTTTAAACCAGGTTAGCAATGTAATACAGGAATGCCCTTGACTAAACATAGTTACATCATAAACGTAAACTAAGGTGTAATAAAAGTACGTACAGGATATATCTCTTTTCATCAAGTATATTTCATGTGGTAGCATCCTTTACATCTGCGTTGATAACTGAGTAAGCAATCTTTGTTGTTTTTCAGAGAGAAGACGTGAAATCTTTCATGTAAATGTTGTAAAGAATTAGCAGCTGGACTTGTCAAGATTACAGGTAGGCATAATAAAAAGGCTGTGGAAGAAAAATTATGTAGAAAATTGATATTTAAATGTCTGAATGGTAGAGACACTCGTAAGGAACTGAATAACTGAATTACTTAATATATACATAGGGTAAGTAAACAAATTATCATCTTAATCTACAGTGCATTCAAGGAAAAAGGTATGTCATACGTATATATATATTGGTTAGTGGTAAATTTGTGAATGATAGAAAAAAATGTTGGTTCATACAAAAAAAATTTTCACACTAAGGAAAGGAATATTCTCTTACTGTACCTTAAAGATAAAAAGTATGTGATATGCCATCAATCCATGAATGACAGATAAATTGGGATACATATACAAATAATTCTTTTTTCACAATTGTATATATTGTGCTTCTTCAAGTTAAAACTCCAAGGTTTAAGGAAACTTTTAGATCTAGTGTCAAAGAACTACAATCTACAGTGAAATAAAAAAATGTAGATGTTTAGGGTTAATAGGGATTTCAAAAGAAATTAACTTCTCCTAAAAGAGAAATTACCAGGGTAGTTTCTTTTACTGGACTAAAATTTGCCAAGAAATTGATTTTCATAGACATGTGCAATATATTAAGTTCATATTAAGATGTCGTAAGTGTGTGATCTAAAGATCACATTCATATCTAAAGTTATGATCATATTTTGTATTGTTACAGTAGCAAATAAAAGTGAATATACAGTCATTACTCAGAAAAACACAGTGGATATAACTACTGATAAAGTTGACAACAGAATAAAATGTATACAGATATGTCATAAGTAGTAATGAATGACCTCCGGATATTCTGAGAATTTTTCAACCCCAAGTCAATGACATGGGAGGGATGAGATAAATATATATATGAGTTATAATGCCATCTGCATCATATAGTAGGGGGCATCATTAATTTACTGGTATCAAAAAGGTCATTGTATTATAAAGCCTTACAAATGCGTCATTCATAATTTAAAAAAGAACGAAACTTGATGCATTTACATGACTTTGTATTTCTTATGAATTGTACCAGACCATATAAGCTGTTCATATTTGATAATTCAGATCTTTATGTGAAAGTCACATTGTCAGAACTAGTATGGCACAAGAAGCACTGGGTATATAATTATAAAGCATTCTGCACTATGAATTGAGTTTAAAAAAGGATTGGATTTTTTTTCCTAGCTGAATGTGATAATTTCACACTATTACCCTCAAAATTAGAAAGCATAAACTTGTTAGTTGCTACCTATTTTAAAGTTCCAAATTATTCCTGTTGAGGCTGTATATTGTAAAACATTGTATATAAGCAAGTTTTGCTGTGCTGTACATCTCTCTTAGTCTGTAGCATAATGTCAGTGACACTTTATGCCGCCCAGGGCAAAAGTATATTGGAGTAGATCGATTGTGTCATATTTCTTTAATAAGTTGTGGCACCTTGAGCATTTCTGTCTGTGCTTTGGCTGTTGAATTCCAATGCATTTCACATATAAGGACCTTCAAACTATACCCCAGCTGCTATACACAAATGAAAAATGTATTTTTAATTGGAGTGTAAAGAGTTATATACAGTAAAATCTTGTTATTTCAAAATCTTTTCAAATAAGAAAAAAGACTTTGAGATATCTTTAGTTTGAGATATCCAGAGTAAAATACTGAAAGAACAAGGGAATAGGACTTCCAAATTACTCAACTTAACCATGGTATTCCAGACATCAGTGTTTGAGATACTGAAGTTCTACTTTAAATATGTTTATATACAAAGGCATGTATGAAAAGTTGAGTTGATCTCATTTCAACATAGGATGTCTGTCTTTTACCTAAAGTAAAAAATGCTTAAAGACAATTAAGAAAGTAATTCAAAATTCACTATTGCTGATTGAAATTTGGAAACCCACTCTAATTGAAAACAGATACCATGCAATCAGAACTCTTCAGTGTGCAGTGTTTAGAGTATCCTTATCAATCATAGAGATCCTCAGCTTCGCAGAATTAAACTGCGTAAAAACGTGCATACGCATTTAGATTGTGCACTAAAATTTGTCTGTGGAGATTTAACAACAGTTAAGTGCACAAACTCAAAATACCACCAACCAAAGGTTTTCTTCATTTTTTTCGTGCAGTCCTTGAATACAAATTTAAGTGTGTTTATGTAATCTTTTTGGCAACTGCCTGAAGAAAGATCAATGAACAATTAATAGCTGCATCGCAGTCGACAGTCATACATTCCTTGGTATAAGGGTGGCTGAGATAAGAGAACGCTTATCAGATATATACAACTGGTTTATCGAAGGATCATCATCTTTAGAGGCATTCACTTCTTAGTTTAAAGGCACTTAAAATACTCCAAATTCACAAATGGAATATCTGGAAATGTAGAATTCAGCTTCACAGTGATAAGGTTTGACATATAAACAGTTATAATAGGGTAAATAAGGTTTAGCAATCTTGTATCAGTCATGTATCTTATTTCAGTTTGAAGCCCTTTTATGTTTTTATTAAAATCCTCTGATAATGTAAAAGTTATGCGTATGTTTAATGGATCAAAATGACAACAAATGGCTTTGTTGTGGCATTATTTGGTATAGCTAAAACACTTTGTATTCTAAGATTGAACCATTAATAGTATTTACATGATGATGATTATAAAAAAACTGGATTTTAAGTTAATTAACTTGAGTAAAGTATATATATATATGGAAACATATATTACCTGAATAAAGAGATTTTGTGATTAATTCTATTTTGGTAATGGACAGATATGTAAATGACATATTCTGTTTTGGTGTAATGCACTATTACTCACATATAAGGTAGATTGTTATAATAGCTGGGTCATGCAATACTGAGTGATTCTAGGTAGCTAATAAGTTCAAGGTGTAATGTAGTCAAAGGATTACATAGGTCTTTGTTGACAGAGTAGGATTAAGTCTCTTAATCCTGGCATTACTATATAAAATCTAATAAGTAATTTAATCACACCAAAACAAAGAACTTCTGTGTTATATAGCTTAATATTTATGGAATTTTTTCTTTCCATGAATATGGCCATAGCTAGCATATACCCGACAGTGTATACATTGTATTATTTATCATGCCTCAGCCTTCTGTCCTTTTTATCCATATGTCTGTCCATCACACTTTGCTTTTAGCTCAGTTTCAAAGAAACATAAAATCTGTCCATCCTTTGAAGAGTTTGCAAAAACTTGTAAATAAAGCTCAATTTCATTTTAAATTACATGTAAACTTAATGTAATATACATGATAAAAGTCTTTCATAAATTACAGTTCGTATATATCCTTGAAAATTAACATATTCTGATCAAATTCTCTGAATCCACACAGAAATATATTAAAATATACATTAGCTGTACTGCATTAGTAGACCCTCACACAGCGAATATATCAAATAATAATGATTTTCGAATAACACTTTTCTTTGTCTTTGAATTTTTCTTTTTGATATCCAAAGGTTTTCATTAACATCCAGGGGCGGATCCAGCAATTTTTGAAAGGGGGGAGGTATGGCCCCAGCACTCAGAATCACACCTAAAATTTACATTTAAAAGAAAGGGGGCCTCCAAAAAATGAAAAAACCTTTTGCACCACATTAAGTTCAGTTTGAACACACGCACGTAAAATGTGTTTATTAAAAATTATATATTCACATTTTCATTGGTGTTTTATGCATGAAAATCTTCGTTTGATTTGCTAATTATGATAAATACATACATCGCACTCGTCACCGCCCCTCGTCCAAATAACTCAGGATACACCATAATAAATATACAATAACTATTACTTATTAATCCTTAAAATTAACATATTCTGATCACTCTGATACAGTGTACATTACTCATTATAGAGCTGTTTTAATGTTTCAACCTTTTTTTGTTTGAGACACTCCGTTGTATTTACCTAAAATTTCTTGAATGTTTATTAAGTTCAGTTTCAATTCAACTTATACGAGGGTTGTCCCGTAAAATCGTGGACAAAGCGTTTTTCTCGAAAAGTAATGGGCGCACTATGAAATATATATATATATATATATATATATATATATATATATATATATATATATATATATATATATATATATATATATATAGTCTATATATATATATATATACGTTTTATGACGTTATGGCGCACTGGAGAACAGCTCAGTTTTATTTCGATGTTGTAATGACACCTTTAGAGACTTGAAATGACCATAGAAGAAAAAAGATTATAAAAAAATTACCATATCTTAAGTATACAAATGAAATAGGAGTTTTCTTAGGGAAGTTTTTTTTGATTGAGTCCCTGGGGAGTACAAAACATACGGACAAACTCCTAATGTAATAGCAAAAGACGCTGTCACAGTAGACCGCCGATATGAGATTTTCTATTAGTTGAATGATGGTGAGAATATTGTCCGTAACTTAATTACTAATAAATCTTCAGAAGATCGCATGAGGGTGCCAATTTCGACTGTTTATGGAACTAAAGAATGTGTATCAATGAAATAAATTTAAGTCGAACTCAATCATTTTCAGCAAAGATAAAATGAAGACACTTTGACGTTATAATCCATAGGTGATACAATACATGGCATAAAATCTCATAATTTGTTTATTTATGCATATATTTATCTGAAATTTGCTGTGTATATTTCTAAAATATGTACTAAACAATACTGAAAATTTCAGAACGCAGTGATGTTTATATCCACGATTTTACGAGACAACCCTCGTATATTCAACATTTTATCAAACTTCATTTGCTAATTATGATAAATTAATACACATACATGGTTGTAAATTACGAAAATATCATGATAAGTCATATTGATATGGAAGTATCCTTAGGTAGAGTGACACATGCAGATTTCATGTATAAATATAAATATATATATAGTTGACCACTGGGGGATAGGATTGGGCCTTAATACTAAGGTAAGTTTTACATAGGAATAAAAATCTAAAAATCTGATGATGAAGAACTGAAAAGGACCATAGTGAATTTGGAAAAGTCATTGTTGCCGAAGAGCATATCTTCATACAATGAAGCGCATTGAAGTGGTAAAATTTTCCGTTTGGATGAAAAGTTCTGAGTCATGTTTTGAACGTCAATTATAACATACTGACACGCCCATATTTTTAGAAATGAGAAAGAAATATTCGCCGTAGTTTTAGGACACCCCATTCTTCGCGACAAGCAATATGAGTTACACTGAAATGAAACTTTAAAAAATTTAAAAGAGAGAGTTAGAGACTCCCCGCTTCTTTAAAACACATATTGCAACAAATATGTACATATTTTTCAACTTATCATGTCTATTGAAGTTACCACAACACATATATTATTAGATATTTACTGGCTATTATATTTATGGAAAACCTGTACAGGTAATTGAAGAAACAACTGGACCGTTTTATCCATTTCTAAAGAAATGGGCGTGTCATAAGATGACAGTAAACACTCTAAAGATAGCTCAAAACGTTCCATTCGAACGGGAAATTTTACCACTTCAATGCGCTTCATTGTATTTCACATTAAGGTATATCTCAAATTGCAATCCAGGGAGTTTGAGAAGGCAATGAGTGCCTGAACAGTGAATAATTGATTACGGTTCCTGTAATAAATGTACATTTCTAGTAGAATAAGCTTCTTTGAGGAAGACAATTTATTTTTTGATATATTATTAGATATACAATGTATAATAATATTACCAGTAGAGCTTGTTACACCTTGGGTGCTAATGCTGCATGTCTTGTACATGTATGCAATGCATGTAATATAACCACTGCATTGCTCATTCAGCTAATATACTAATATGTGTTTTAATGACCACCCATGAACTTAACTGACAATCTATTGAATAATGCTACTATTTTAAAAACCCATTGTTAATGATAATAGGTTCCTTTAACAAGAACAGTTGCGCAGCACATTCGGATAGCAGAGTAATGAATAATTAAAGTGATCAGTTTTAGCAGGGGAAACCTGAATCCAAATTGCATAATGGTATATAAATGACAAGTTTGCAGTGTGCCAGTATTCTCTACAGTAGTATTAGGTTTACTAGAAGTGATAGACAGATTCCTGACAACGGTGTATTGGTGATTGCTCCTGAGTTATATCGCTTTGTGACTGCAGTAATGATATACTGATTTTTGTGGTTCAGAATTATCTTGGGGTGTAAAACAGTTGTGACAGTTTTGTTAGCCTGAGGGAAAGTAGCACATTTTTGAGAAAACCAATGATACGTGCTTCCAAGAATGAAGAGATTCTGAGATTCAGGCAGTTAGAGAGATTCTTTACATTTTAGAATACTTCACTCCAAGTTCAGATGCATGGTTGCTGTTCACGTGGAAAATACAATATAAATGCTTTAGAAATAAACATTTTAAAGTGAACTGAATGATTTATTGGTACATTTTCCTATATACTTTTAGACGGATGATTTGAAATACCTTGGAAGAATTGTCAGGAATCAATCACTATAAAATTGTAAGTATAGATTAATTTCTTCCTACTCTTTTTTCTCCAAAAGCCAGATAAATCATGGTTACAAAAATGTGAGATTGTGTCATTGATAAATAACGTATGTGGAAAATCCCAGTCCGACAAATGTCTGAAAATGAAAATGGACGTCACTCGTTCAGCAGGAAGACTCTCAATATATACATGTACTTCATATATATATAATGATGCATTGTCAAGAGGTTTCAAGTACAAATTACTTATCATAAATAGTTTGTGATGACATTTGAATGTATATGCACACCAGCTGCCCTCATTCATAAATTTCCAAGGATGCTTTTGATTATTTTTTCTTTTAAAAAGCCATATTCATTTTTTTATCAGGAAAAAAATATTATAAACCTATTACATGTACATATGTTCAAGGGGTTTCAAGTGCGCATGACTTATTATAAGAATATAAGTGTATGATGGCATCATTAATGTATCAGAAATTGGCCTCATTTGTCAATTTTCCAGGATAGTAATGATTTTTGTTTTACTATAAAAGCCCGACTTTGTGTCACATTTTCACATTTCATTGTTCATTTACAAAGAAGACAGTTCTTACAGAACAGATACATAAGACTAGTTCAGGTAATTAATGCAACCCAGTTGAAAGGAATCACATTATTACATTGGTACAGAGATTGGCACAAGTGACGAGTGTTTTAAATTTCTGGGATTCTGTGGAAATTTTATGAAATTTTCAAAATATTATCATATCAGTGTCCTGACTGCAATTCGTGGCATTTCTGTTGAGCTTATGTGCCATCTAACTGACATTTTTAATTAAAGGACTACAAGAGGTCTATTTGCAAGTACTGATGACTATACCATTGTATTCATACTAGGATCATGTACCTCAGTAAAGTACAGCAACTGAGCTCTTGTGGTGTTGGAGACTTTTATGCATTGTTACAGAATCCTTCAATGTTTCTTCTGCATGCTGCATATCAGCACACAGAGCCATTGTGTACTTTATTATGCATGTTCAAAGTATGCACCATGACATGGCATTTTTGATGACCCAACTATGTCACTCTGAGATTCTTCTAAGTTCTTGTGGTAATGTAGTAGCTAGACTCTATTGGATGCATAGGTCTTGGCATTTTTCTATTTTCATGGATGCTGATGGATTGTTGTGAATTCACAGTCCTGATGTGTGACTGGTGTTAAAATAATGGCTTAAGTGAAATAATATTAGGATTATATAAATACATAGAAACTTTTTCAAATTAATAAGTAAAATACTATAATTTTGAATATTAGCGAAGATAAATTGTTGCTTTCTGTAGGGCTGCACAGTCAGTAGATTGGTATCTTGATCGATGTATGGCAGTTCATTGACAAAAAATTAAAGTTTTGTGATATGTTTTTCAGTTTTGATATACAGGCAAAATGTTTGTTTTAAAGTGAATGTAAAGTGAATTTAAAGTGAGCATTATTGGGATTTCTGAAGTAAAATATGAAATTTAAGATGTTAGAAACATTTTCAACTGAAAGGTTGTATAGTTGCATTTTGAAGCAAAACTGTAGTTATATAGATCAGTAGATATAAAAGAACTTATTTGTTAAAATATATTTTGCAAAGTTATAATTTACATTCTGCTTACATGCATAAATGGAGGGAATAAAAAAATTGTCGTAATTGTTACTAAAAATATTGCATACATGTCGCAATACAGTTAAAAATATTGCAGTATAATCCCAATACATGTACAAAATTCCCAGCCGATACCCATGCAGTGCAAGCCTAGTAATTACATGTACATAAGCTGGTATGAACCCCAATACGTATATAAATACTAATATAGGAAATTATAGAATTCATATCTACACAGCTAATAATGTTATTAGCTGGGTGATTAGTTATACAAGTGTACATATAGGAATTGGTCCGATTTGATAATTTTAAGTAATGCCTTGAGTCCATTTTATCAATATTTTATGGCCTAAACATATATCCTAGTTGCCTTAAAGCACAGGAAATGACATAAGGTAAGCCATACCTTCAGAGGAAATGAAAACCAAAATAATGTGTCATCTTCAGTTTTTATAAACAAAGATGTCAGGGAAATAGATTAAATACCTTGACTTCCTTTTTTTAAGCTGCCCTGGAATTAGCTTCTGGAAGGACAGAAGGATTATTTTTAGCTCTTGTTATTGATTTGGGATAATTTCATGTGAACTGCAATTTTTTAGTGCTCTGTGTTTTATCAAATCAATGATATTTTTTATGTTGGATTCTTACAGATTTGATTGGAGAAATTGGAAGTCTCGTTAGTGTTTATATACAAAGGCAAACACAACCAAACATTTGTTGGCACCGGTTGAAATTGATCGCTGAAACATCTTGCAATCAAAGGTTTGTATATCAAGATGAAAACTTTTATCTGTTTTTTATCGTTGACTTTTTAAATCTTGAAATGAATAATAGATGTCTTGGATATATTTTAGTCTATAGATTATTTCGTTTACAAAAAGTGAATGGGATTGGGCAGCAGACAAAGCCTATTGTAATCATGTTAACAGCCCTCTCCCAGATATATTGTGTTAACGTAATAAACTAGAAAAAAACAGTACATAAACTATCATTTATTAAATTATCCAACAATAAAGCTATAAAATGAAAAACTTTCTGCTAAAAGCATGATGAAAGAACAAAAAAAAAATTGGATATGTCTAGTATATAAAAATGTAAGCCACATATTGCATTGTACATGTGATTCTAGGCTATTATAGATTTATGATTGATATAGATGTTGACTACATGTATTTGTTAAATAAATTTTCATTTTAGTCAAATTAATTCCTTGTGCTTGTTCCATGATGAATTTTTATTTTGTGGTACTTTTAAAATTACTTTATGAATTTGGATCTATTCAATCCATGGACTAGCTCACTTATACTTTTTTATGGGGGTTGAGGTTAGAGGAGTTTAGATTTTGCAAATGATTGATGACATTCATAACTCTGCATAACATTAGTTTTATTCTTGCAATTTTTTAAAAATGGAAGACGGACATTTTTGACCAGTATCTAGCTAATGATTGCTAATGGTTGATGTTAAGGAGAAATTGAAAATTTCCGACCATTTAGTACCCACTTGACCTAATTTCCTCAGATGACAAAAATGGCATTGAAGGCTTTAATTATCTACATTGTAATAATAAGCTGACCAAGCCTGGTCTAAAAAAAATTTAGCATGTGGACCATTTTATTGTATTTAGGATTGTACAGACACTCTTAAAATATATGGCTTAAAATTTGTATTCTTATTTTCAAACTACATGTATCTATATAATCTTAGTATTGATCATACAAATCACTTAGTAAATTTTTGTATTAATAAAACACTAATAATAATTTTACCATTTTCCCTCTTTTTGTTTGAAAAAAAGTCAGAATATAGAAAAAAAAAATGGAACATACATTATGTCATATACATGTTATAATGAAGTAGAAATTATCTATATCGGTAATTCGTTATACCCGTATAAGAAATTCATTGAATTTATATAGCTGGGGATCCAAGATACTTCGCTATACATTGAAACTTCAGTATAAACATTGAAACTTAGATGACTTAAAATGCAGTAAATGACTTAAAATTCAGTAAATGAAAAGGACATATTTTGTGCCAAATTCTATGAAATGGAAATATCTGTAAGTATTCCCCTCACTATTACGAGAAGCTGCTTTATATTTTGAAATTATTACTAATTTTTGTCCTTTTGATCACACATACTAGCTAGGTGATAATATGAAAGACTGTTTGAATGCCATAAATGGATTTCTGTGGTTTATAATAGTTTTCTTTTAGCAAGGTGTACATATTTGTAAAATCAGGATAGTTGATATTTATTTATCCTTCCCTGGTCAGATTCAACAGATTTTTGACAAATACATGTATGACAAACAAAAACAGGAAAGGAATTCAAAGCAATCTATCCGGGAAATGATCAATTTTTCAAACATAGAAAAAAACATAAAACTAGCACACAATATAAATCTGTTATAATTTTTTTCAGGAACAATGGCGGAGGTGGAAGTGCCAAATAGTTTGGAGGAGTTTATAAGCTCTGGGAGAACGGGAAGACGGAATGCCATGGCAGACATCTTGGATTCCCAACGTGCGTCCACCAGTACAGCGGGGCTAGACCTGGACATGTCAGGTCTCAAGTGTTCAGGTAGTTTAAATAATCTGTTAGTTTCTCTTTTGTTTCATATTCCTCTGAATAGAAATAGGTTCTGGACTAATTTGTGAATAAATAAGTTAAGGATGTTACGGGAAAACCAAATACATAAGCAATGTACTTTGATGCTTTTTGCAAATGTCACATTAATCAGTAGTTTCTAGGTTGAGGCTATTTATTTAGGAGTAAGTACATGTAATGAGTAAAAAAGAAACCATTATGACAGAGAATACAAAAAATTATGGAGGCTACCAAAACTTGAAATGTTAAGATTTAGAAAGGGGAGATAACAGAGGGTATAAGGGGAGTTAACTGGGGGATGGGGGAGAGAACTGAGAATGATGTACCTGAAACCTGCTTCTTAATTACAGTGTGCTAAATATTGTGGCTCTTACTTCAATATAACCCAAAACAAAGATTTTTTTTTTATTAAATACTGCTTTGTGGTAAGTTTTTAATACAAATTAAAACTGTATATCAGTGTGAATTTTATTTTTAACTTAATTTTGTAAAGCTTAAATACAAGGCTGAGTTCAAGATCTTCAAATTAAACTAACATTCTTACTACATTGAATGTTCCTAAGAGTCACAAATATATGTATCTGTTGATGGATAAAATATAATCTATCTGGACCTGAAGGAAATATTGTTTTACTTCAAAGTTCTGTTGATAGTTCAATTTTAAATCTATCAAGTTGTGCATTCCTTGGCGTAGTGGCTTATTACCTACTTAAAGATAGGCCTCCTCAACATTCACAAGACGTAGGGAAAGATAACTTTTTAAAGGAATGCATTTTCTGATTATTGGTTTTAAGCACCCACTGTGAGCTCATTGATATGTGTTGTATCTGTAACAGATATTTACAAGATATATGGGAAGTTGTTGATACTCATCTCCTTTTAATATGCCTTTAAAGAGGGCCGATCTAATGAGCAATTTGATATATATATATATTTTTAAAAATCATTCCGAGCTGAATTTTGAAAATATTTACCATGTTAACTAATATTTAAGGTTTTTCTCTTGTTATGATCTTGAATCAGTAAAATTTCCCAGTTAATTAGATGTGATACAGGCAGGACAAAGTTCTATTTTTGGAAAAAATAATTCTTGCAGTGAGAATAAAACTTTAGCCCATTACAATTAAGAAAATCAAATGCCATGTAATTTCCTGAGCAAACCTTTGACATTTGTCTCCAAAGAGCACATAACTATCCAAACATTCTCTCAGTACTCCCTTAATGAGCTTTGTAAAAATGAGACCTTAATGAAAAAATGACAATAAGAATGGTAAAAACTGTAGTTTTTGGAGGTTAAATGACTATTGATTGGCTTTTACTGTTAAATCAATTACAGCCATCCCATGACACTGAAACTGTATTAAAATCAGTAAAAGTTCTTTGCATTCTACGGTGACAATATCCGGTCTAGAATGATTCCCTAGTGTCTGCTAACGTTTGAAGTGCTGGCGCCAGTATACCTCAAATACACCTGGATTACATTAGCATCCCTTGTCTTCTATTGGAAAAACTGCATGATGAATGAACTAATTGAGGCAATTTTACTACAGCTATTTTATTTAATGTTTGATTTAATTAATGAAAATTGATGGTAAACGACCCCCTGCCTGTACAGAAATTACATATTTTTATTTAACAATGTCATTGAAATGCTTTATGTTGTTACCCGAGATACCTGAAGCAGTAGGGGGGATATGTGATTTACTGTAACATGTATTTATAACACAGTCCTTGCAGACTTGTGCATAATTTATGATCCTTTGTTCATCGTATATTGTGATGAATGCATGTCTATCTAACAATTTCTACATACTTCATAAAATATGCAGAAAATAATCAATTTTTGGGTTTGCTTGTAGACGATGATAAAGCTCAGAAAAGTCAGTCGGAATCTCCAACCTCCAGCAATGGAAGTGGCTCGTAGCCAATCAACGCTACATCTCACTACCCCAGGGAGTCCAGTGTCTTTCAAAATGAAGTCATCTCACTTCACACAGACTATTTTTTCAAGAGTGACATGACAGTTGCTATAATTGTTGTTTTCACTTTGTTGAGAAATTTTCCATTATTTATTTATTTTTTTTTTTTACATGAATTTTATGAACATGTAGTGTGAATTTTTTCTTCTCTGTGAAAATTCAATGGTCTGCACATGAAGTTTAGTCTTTTTATGGCATTAGGCCATTAGCTTGCCAATTCATGAAAATGCAAATTGCATGCATTGCTAAAGAACTGATGGGGCTGTATTTATTTAAAAATCTTTATGAACCAGCTTTTATTTTATCAATAGCCAGGGTAAACACTTGTTTTCAAAAGAAAGTGTTTCATAGAGTGCAATTGCATGTTGATGAAAATACAGTGAAACACAGTTATGGGGAACTTGCTTATAGTAAATTCATGCCTACAGTGAGATGGATTTTCATTTCCTGTAATTTCAGCATTTAATTTTAACTCATCCAATGTAATGAATTATGTTCATTGCTTTTTCTTTTCTGTATAGAGATAAGATCGCACAAACGAACTGATATTTTTAAGTTAATGAATACCTGCATAAGAATGGGACTATTTTTCTAAAGCACAGAGAGAGAAAGGAGTATGCATTTAGTTAAAGGTGTTTTCTTTTTCAAGAGTGTTCTGGATTCTTTTATTCATATAGTATTAATAACTGTGTGTATATACATTGTAAACTGTATAAGCTAATGTCAGGTTAAACACTGTATATAATGTTTTGGAAATTGTTGGTTATTTTTAAAGCTGATAAAGAGATACACAATTGTCAGAAACCATTGACATATTCATGTTTCATTCTTTTAACTTTCCAGTTTTGTTAGAATAAATTCCCTGAGTTTGACATTTTAAGCAGTTTTAAGAAATAATGTGCTTGTAAGAAATGAAAACCTAGTCATTTTTTTCATCATTAAAAGTGTTAAATTATTAACAAGATTTTGCATTTAACAATTGAAATCTATATGTGATCTTAAAGTCTGTCAGCAAAGGTTGGATTAAACTGATGGATTCTGTCTTTGATAAAGATCCTTCAAAAACACCTTAATGACTGTGAAAACATGTAAGGAAAAAAAAAAAAGAAAAAGATCCATCCCTGGCATATAACTGAAAACTGGAATAAAAGATCTGACATTCTATATATTA